TATAATTCGCAAACGCCCACCATGAGTAGTTGTGGCAACATTTCAACATCAGAACGAAACCACATACTATCCAACACAATGATAACGGTCGTAATAATATTAAATATTTTTTCCTCATTCATGGTAACGACGGTGTCCGCTCAAAATTCCAATGAGACCAGGGAGGGTGAATATGGTGGACCACAAAGAACGGGCGAAAACATACCCCTGTCACCGTCGTCGATAAATAACACGTCTAATAATAATATTAGTAAGTGGTCTTGATATTCGTTTTTTGGAAAAGAAAAAAAAAGAATCAATTCGAATCAAATTCTTCTATGCAATCCGCCCTGATGCACGTTGTTGTTTTACAGCAAGAGGTAATGATTACCCATTAGACGCTGCTAGTTATTTAACGGCAATAACCTTGATAACAACGGGCGTTGTGAGTTTGTTTCGAGGAAATAAATATCGGTGGCTGTCAATATTTCTGGCGGCATTCTACGCAACGTGTATGTATCACCCTTTTTTTTTTTGTGTTTAAGAGTCTTGGGGGAAACCCTTTGTTAATTAATCCTTTGTCTTTTTACATCACGGAAATTTAGCTATAGGATTAATGTTATTTATACTGAAATATCAGAATGTGATTAATCCATCTTCTTCCGCTCGTTTTGTTTACTTCATAATATGTGTCGGATCTGGATCCGCAGCTGGCTTGTTTTTTGTGTGCATGTGGCCGACCGGAAAAATCATTGTGGGCTCACTTGGCGGTTTCTCGCTGGCGATGATTTGCCTTTTGACCAGAAACAACGGGTTGATTCCGAATCAGATTTTTCGATGGGTGTTTATGGGTGTGTGCACATTAATCATGGGATCACTAGCCAGCATTCAAAAGATTTATAATCGCGTGGCCATCTTTGCCACGGTAGCAACCGGATGCTATTCCTTAATTCTTGGGACTGATATCTTTGCGCGTGCCGGAATATTGGCCTCTTTCAAGACTTTTTGGGGATTTATACAGCCCGAGAATTACCAGTATGTGGTTGATACAAACGTTATAATCATTCTGTCATCCATCGCCTTGGTTGGCGGAATTTTTGGAATTGGTTTTCAATTCTTGGAATTTTGGATAAAACAGAAGAGAGAGAAATCGGCTGTGGCAGATGATACAGAAAACATTTCTGACAATCAAAGTCGGATGGAAAAAAACTTTACTCAGAGGTTGAAGAACTATTTCTTTGCCATAAAAGATTTCTAGAGAAGTCGGAATTATAGTTATTATCACTGCATTTCCGACATGAACAGACATTTTACCTAAAGATACTTTTGTATCATTTTAATTTTCATAAATTATTTCACACATGTAAAAATAATTAATATAATAACAATAATTTAAATTTTGTGTATATTAAAAAAAAAAAATTATACAATTAAAGCACGTGCCCAAAAGTTTCAATAGAATTTGGTTTGCACATCGATCTTATCTATTTTCTTTTGATCATCGAAATCAACAAAACTTTGAAAAATACACTCGGGAATGTCAACGGATCCTGCAAAATTATTGAACTCGATCATTATCAATTACACTTTCAATGATGACACGGTCGAATCTTTCGTACCTTTTATACTTGAAACCATAACGCACCATCAACTATTAAAAAACCTCAATAAAGAATCTAATTCTGCAGAACGGGTGCCAATTCACAAATGGTGTACACGTATTAATTCCCTATTACAATCAAAAGTTGGCAGTGCGAGGTGGGCGGGAGTTTGCTTTGTGAAAATCTCCATTGAGCAATCGGAAGACCTGTTTGCTCAAAATTTGAAAACGTGGTCTTCGGCGTTATTGACTTTACTCACGGTTTGTTTTTTTTTTGTCTCCCCAGTAGCAATACAGTTAGCAACTCTCTTTTCTCTGTCGACAAGAATGACCTTTCGCTTTCGTGCTTTTCATTTAGCGTCCAGAACCTGCCATTACCTTGAGGACCGTTATTTCGTCGCTTTCAATAATGTTTGAAAGAACGGTCAATAAGCCCGAGACGCAGAGAGAAGTAACCTCTCAGCTACTTCCACGTTTCAACACGGCTCTCTTACAACTCTCTGAAAACAAAGAACTTTTGGTGTGTATTCGGGTTTCAACAATGATCTTTTTTTTCCATCCATACTTAACCAATTTTTTTTTTTTCTTAGCCTTCGATATTCGACGCTTTATCTTGTTCCGGTTCTCACTTTCCGACAATATTTCGACCGGTTTTCGAAAATGTGCAAAAGTTAAGTTTGGGCGTTTTAGACGGGACATCTGATTACGGATCGCACGTCGTTAAATCCGCAGTCAATTGTTTTGCTAGTATCACAAATGTGGGAGGCAAAACCAGTTCAATGGATCATTGGCAATCCAGTGCGTTAAGGATAGTCGGATCGTTGAATTCGCTATTGGATCGATTGTTCGATACAGTTGACGAAGGTAGGAGACTCTGTTCGATTAAAAAATTAATTTCAAAGATTAAATAATCTTATTTCAGATAAGGAGGCGTCAAAGAAGCTACCAGTTTTTGAGTTTCCACCAGTTGCCGACGACTATGTTAATAGTTTTCCTACTCTGTTTTCGAGATTTCAATGCTTATGTGAATGTATTATTTCTCTGATAAGGTCTGTTTTCTGTAACTCACTATCGATAATAAGCTTATCTATGAACTCAAATTGATTTTGATATCCTTGTCTTAGTTTTCCAACAACTTCACCCATTCGAATTCCAATGAACCCGATTTTGGATGTTTTCTGTAGAGTGCACAATGTTTCTGACGACGTATTTGCAAGTATTTCTTCTTAGTTTCCCAGTGCATTCGGCGTATTCACATTAGTTAATCAACCGTACGGTGATTTAGATAAAGGAAAACAAAGACAAGAACGAATTCATTACTTTGATGCTAGGAGCGCCAACTTTATGTTTTCATAGCAACAAGGTGCTATCAAGTTTAATCGCTTGGTAAGCATTTAAGTGGTTTAATCGTACGAAATAAAACTTTGTCACTAATCCTTACATTAATCCCAGCTTTGGTGAACACCTTGCGCGCAACCTGGGTTTAATCTCGAACATAATAATGAAACAGTTTCGCTTGTCCGAAAGTCGATGGTATTCTTTATTCTTGATCCTGTGTTTTGATGTATCTCCTATAATTTCGTATAATTAAATTATTATCCAATATTACACATATCCAGGTTACTTAGGAGTTCTGTCTATCGTTTGACGTCTCTGTGCATACAAAAATATGGGTTCGGGTTTGCACATTTGATATCTTCCTCATTGATAACTTGCATCGTTGAAGATATTAAGATCAACCAAGAAGTGCAGTATCTCGATGTCGAGGCGAATTCCGAGAAGGTAATAAAAATAAAGCGGTTCGCTTTTTATCGTATTTGTGCAAGCTAAGCAATTTTTAATTCGTACTTGTTAATATCAGAAAAGTGGAAGAAAAAAAAAAAAATTAATCACAAACTCGGACGCGCTTGTTAATATGAATAATCGAGTAATTAGCTATACAAATGTAGACGTACAAATCGCTTCTTTAGAAGGTAGAATATCTAATATATATATACTTATATATATGTTAGAGTTCTATTTTAATATTTTTTTTTCTCAAATTTGAATTCACGAAGCGTTAAAAAACCTCCTCACGTTCTATGGTTCCTCAATACCTGCGAATGTTCGCACAAGCATTGATGACATCATTCTTACGCGAATTTTATCATCAGACGAAAAAAATGAAAACGATTGTGACATCCGGTCAATGTTGTACGAATGTCTACTTGCGTCAGTATTATCACCTTCAGTGCATCAACCCACAATTCTTCCACACGCTTTGCGTGTTTTCTCATCTGCTTTGAGTGCACAGTCTCACAAGGTATTTTTGATTTCGTCTATGTTTTATGATGATCTTTCTCACTTATAAAAATTTTATACTAGTTGCGATTATTCAGTTCCCATGCTCTGTCAATTTGTGATCTTATATTTCACAGTCGGCTGCCGCCACTCAAGCGTTCACCTGCTAGTTCGACGATTCAACACATAGAAAAACCAGTTCTTCCGTCAGCATCCGATATGAGTGATAATGAAAATACATTAGATATCAGTAAAAATCGTGTTAACATTCAAGATGTTTCTAATGACACCACATCAATTTTGGATAAGACTACTGTAGATCTAAATGTAGATACCAGTCCTTTCACCCATGATGATAAGCCCCCAGATAAAGATGCTACCGTAGAAAAAGTAGCGAACGAGATAGTAGGATTATTTCTTTTGGTTATCAAGCGAATAATGCCATTGAATGATCATTAATAATTTCTTTTTAGGTGCATCTCCCGATCTCTGTGTCAACCCTAGTGCCCGAACCTCCTGATAATGATAATACGGATAAAAACTTTAATAAAAAAAGAACGCTTTTGGTAGACGCAGAAGAGTTAACTGTAGAAGATCGTGCTCGTGTGTATAAACCCTTCAGAACAGATGATATTGATTCCGAGGATGAAGATATGGAACTTCCGGAAATTGTATCGGGTGGTCCTGATTCGGATTATGCAAGCTCGATAGAATAAAGATAAACTTTTTTATTCAATGGACGTGCTTACCTTTTCAAGGTAACCCTCTAATATAATCCAAAACTTATTATACACTACTTGTAAATTTCTATAACGATCGGTAAAAAAAGTTTAACACATCAAAAAGAAATATATTCTTTATAGAATTATATTAAAAAAATTATTTATAAAAATAGTTTATGAATAAAATTAAATCAATAACTTTGTTATAGAAAATTATATTAAAAAAAATCAATAAGTTAAATTAATTTAAATTTATTATTTTAATGGACAATTTTTGGTATTAATTAATAAATGTTTGTTTTCAATTCCGTAAATCTAAAAAATAAATATTATAAATATTATAATATATGATATACAGGATGTTGCAAAAAAAAGACAATTATATTTTTATTTGTAACTTAACAAAAATTATTTAAAAAAAAAAACAATTTTAAAATAATTAAATTGATATCTATAAAATAATTTTATTTAGAATATTTTATTAATTAATTTATAATTTAATTTGATATTTTAATTTTTAAAAAAAATTTTATATTGTATTTTTTAGTTTCTATTTAATTTCTGTTTAAAAAAAAGTAATATACAGTCACTGGCATAAGTATCCCCCCCTGCTAATTTTTTGTTGATTACATGCAAGCCCCTGAAATTCTCAAAACACAAAGTACATCATGGGTATTGATCAATCTTTGCCTTTTAGAGTTAATTAGGTAGTTCATATTAGGCACTAGATAATTAATGAACTTTAGCCACAAAAAATGAGCCTTCCGTTATATAGATAGTATAAAATTGTTTTTCTACACATCTATCCAAAAGACCTGAAGCTGTCATTAAGTGAGATGGCAAAAGATGTCTGTTGTGATAAAAAAACGGTCTGTTATTGGATAAAAAGGTAAAGGGAGAGTAAAAATTTAAATGACAAACCAAAGTTGGGACGGCAAAGGATCACCACTCCGAGGCAAGATGCCATGATTATTAATTTTGCGAAAAAAAAAAATAAGGTAACAGCTACTGAAATTCAGCAGGAAATAAGGAAATGGCATACTGAAGTTAATGAAAGAACCATTAGGCGACATCTTCATGAAGCAAGAGGTAAATATTTTGCGAAATTATCAAAACCCCTACTCACTGATAGGTATTGGGAAAACT